ATTTAAAAAAATAAAAAATAGGACCAAGATAAACCCTTTCAAAACAGAAACTATGATCTTGACTTGGAATGAAAGTAGTGATGAGTACCCTGAATCCATCATAAAAATTTAGGATGTAGAACTAGTAAATACTAAACACTTTAAATACTTTGGTATATGAATCAGTTATAACAAATTTTTGGAGAAAAGGAAATTGAACATAGAATAAGCAGTGTTAGAGATAATTTCTTCCAACACTACAAATTACTACAAAACATTAACCTAAAAACTAAAGTCATATTCTTAAATAGCCTCATCAGACCAAGATTTTCACATGGATATCATGCATGGCTCCAAACTTGTTTAGAAATATCTAAACTTCCAGCTATATACAAACACTTTCTCAGATCAATGGTTAGAAATGTCTTGAAACAAATGAAGCACGCATGTCTCAGCAAGGGCCATCCATCTATGAACCTTGTGAACTGAAACTACAGAATCACAAACAAAAAACTGTATTAAGTAATAGAAACCACATCAATTGAGGACTTCCAATAGCAGCAAAAACTAAAATGAACAGCTCATGTAAATCAAAGGGAAAATAACAACATAATCAAAATAATGATGCTCCATAGTACTTCAAAACTAAAAGGTTAGGAAAAAAGCCCCTATCAATACCATATATTCTTGTGCAAAATACAAAAAGTTTTGAATGTAATCTAAAGGCAAAAAAGGTGGTTTGTATCATACAGAAGTACAAGTTTTCAGAAATTTTTATTCAACTTAAAAACCCTCCAATTTGAAACAGCAAGATTGCAAATACTTTGTTTTATGATAAAACAAAGTAGGCAAGTATCAATAACAATTGTTTACAAAATGTATTTGCTATGTCAGCAATATTTGTTTCTGTCTTCATTCTTAATTAAAGACAATTTTTTTTTAATTTTTATAGCTTATACGAGGCCTGATCAAAACGTATCAAGAATGTTGCTATGGTAAACAGAACTAAAATACACAGAGTGAAGCCACTTGACACAGATTGACTTTGAACTTTGTCGTACATACAAACTAAGTTATAACATTCTTGCTCCTTTCTATTGTTTACAGCAGTGCTTGAAAGGAAAGTGTGTAGAGTGTGTGCAGAGTGTGGTCATCTCACCAGAGAGGTTCCATCAGTGACTATGGCTTATGCAGCAATTTTTGGCCAAGGATAACATTTCCTAGGTTAGTCAGTCATCATATTCTTGCACTTCGCGACTTTTTACTGTTCAAAAATCAAATTCTACTTGAAAGGAAGAAGATTTTAAAGCCTCAAGGAAAACCAGAATTCAATGAGGCAGCTTCTCACTCTCACTAAAAAGGAGTTCCAGGAATGTTTTCATCAATAGAAACGAGGTTGGATAAAGCCTGTGGCTTCAGAAGTATACTACTTTGAAGGAGATTAAATACCAAATTGATGTGTAATAGTTTTCTTTTTATAACACCAGTTCTGATACTTTGGTATAAAAAAAAATAAAATATCAAACAATAAAAATATAATAGATTAATTAACACCTTAAAATGTATTTCCAGGTATGTTTAATTAGTACCTTTTCTTGAAAATAAGTTTTGAAATGGAAATTATATAAAGAAACACACAATAGCTACAAATATGGATCATTTTTATTCTTTAATATCATGAAAAGTGAAATTTTTTAGTGAAATATATGTATAACATTAGCATTTTAATGAATATTGTACAACTTTTTGATAAAAAAATTTATATAGAGATGGCTGTACTAGGGGCCATATTGCACTGAAGGATGTAATTTAGTCTGTTTTCAGCTTCAGAAACACTGGTTCACATTACACTCAAGTCATGTTATATAACGCAAGAAAATAGGGTAACAGTTACTAGACTTGAGAAACCTATTTTCACAAAAAATTGTTTGAAGAGAAACATTTTATAAATTTCAGCCAAAAGTAGTACTGGCTGCTCGGTCAATGAATGACAAATGTTTCCTTATAAGGAAATAGCTAATATTCCCATTACCATAAATGTGAACCTCACTACATGATAACAGGAGCCAGAAAAGAGGTAAAGAAATAAATGGTAGAAGGTGATAGGGAAAGGGTAGCAGAATTTTTATTTTTTTTTTAATGTGAAATGCTGATCTGACATAATATAACTCCAGCAGCAACGACTCGCTAACCCAAGTCTCCTAACTGTATAGCATTCTCAGTAAAGGGTATAAATTTAGAATGCACACAAGAAATATGTGGAGTAGAAATACAGGCAAAGAGCTGGATTTATTGATTTGGCAACAAGAGATACAAATGCCATCCCAGCCATGTGTTGATTTGATAACAATAAAAGTTCATTTTTTTTTATATTCTAAAACATTAAATTCTTATTTTCATTATTTTTTTCAGATTCAAAAGCTTTCATCGTAACAGTTTTTTATTGAATAGAAAAATAATATTCAAAAATAAAATTAATGCACTGGTTTAAGTTTGCTTGAATATTTGAAAATACTGACAAATTTTCTACACTCTGGTGAGATCTTGCTTCAAAGCAACAGCTGAAAGATCAGAAGAGACTATTAATTACAGTAATATTTATTTTTACCCTATGTGCTCTGTAATGAGACATTCCTTTTCATAATTTTATTAATACACATCACTAAGTAGGTCATGAAATGAGAATGACCTCAAGACCAACTCTGGCCTTTGTTTACATATTCAAAATACAAAGAATATCAAAGTGTAGTAAAATAAATTATACTAAGATATCAATCAATGAAAAAAATTAATAGGTTAAGTAATTCATTTAAAATTGGCTATAAAAAAAAAAAAAAAAAAAAAAAAAATTAGCCATCATTCCAAACAATTCTGTTCAGTTTATTGTACCTAAATATAACACTGATCTACCTCGAAAAGAACTAAACCAAGGTCATTTTTTAAAAATTATGCTGTAATTTGGAACTTAGCTAAAAGAAATTACAAATTTAGGAAGAAATGACACATCCAACAAAAATCCTTCAGCATCAATAGGTTTTACAAGCCATTTTTCATATACAAGCTAACTAAATATATAAAGTAGGACTTCAACATTGTAGAATCTCTAACCATGACTATCTCACCATACAAAAACCATCAAGTGATGTTTACTTACATTTGGCCCAAAACAAAATTTTTGCATTCAAAGGTCGTTAAATTAAAATTACTTTGAAAAGAAAAGAAATTCCAAAGGCAAAAACTCTAAACAAAAAATAAAGCCCTAAGTCCTTAATAATAATAATAATTATACTATTTTGAAACCAAAAAACATTTATCAACTTACATGTGCTCAAAGTTATCAGAGTCTACGAATCATGAGAGGAAAGCTCAAATTAATTTTACAGAACAAGAACAACCTAACACCTGTAAATTAAATAAAGGGTTCAATTTGAAATTATCTGTTTTCTTCAGATACTTGTCTACCTGGGTAGAGTACAATAGCAAAAAATATTGTGATAATAAAAAAGATGAAGACAATAGGCCAAATGTTAATAATGTAAATAATGATAAATCTTCATTCCAGAAATGAAGACAAAAATTAACTTGTTTACCAACTACTGAAGAATCTAATTTATTTCATTTTTACAGTTATATCAAATTATATTTAATGAGGGGAGTTGACTCTCCTCTGTCATCAAATGGGCTTATAAAATTTGATGTTATAATTAATAAAAAAGAAAAACTTTTTTTTAACAATAAAAGTTCATTATTTTAAAATTCTAAAACATTAAATTCTTATTTTTTTATTATTTTTTCAAATTCAAAAGTTTTCATAGTAACATTTTTTTACTGAGTAGAAAAATAACATTCAAACATAGAATTAATGCACTTGTTTAAGTTTGCTTGAATATTTGAAAGCAGTGACAAATTTTCTACACTCAAGATATTGCTTCAAAGCAACAGCTGAAAGATCAGAAGAGACTATTTATTTATTACAGTAGTATTTATTTTCTAAAACATTAAATTTAAATTTGATGTTATAATTAATGAAAAAAGTAAGAAATCTTTTTTTTACATTTTTTTTTTTATTTAGACAAAAATTTTCATCTTTTAAATTTGAAGCTTTTAAAATTTTAATCTTTTAAATAAATGAACAGTGAAAATTATGAATCATACCCAGCATATTTTTGTGGAGTGGTTTCACAGTGGAGGCTTGTATTTGTACTAAGTCAGTCCTAAAATAGGTTCGACGTACAAAACGTTAGGAACTTGATATAATAGGTAATGACGCAGAGCAAATTTAGTTGTGGTCGCTGATACTTCAGTATCCGACTAACAGTCGTCCAGCATCGACTGACTGACCAACCCACTGAGCGACTCCTCGTTACTCTTACTACTCCTACTTATTATAGGTGGGAGAGTCTATTAACTATAGAATAGGTGTGTTCCACTATAACACATATATAGTTCATTATACTGGAATCTATATATTATGGATAACATGATCCTACTGCCATTGTCTATTTTTTTTATATATATTGAGCTCTGTTCCCTTGAGCAAAAATTCATGAACAATAACACAAAGACAATCATATTGTACTGAAGAGAAGAACTAATTTCAGCTCTGCTTTCTGATGTTTATCTGATTTCAAATATTTCTCCTGGCCAAGTGGATAGAACATTAGCATTCAGACCATGAAACCCAAATTTGAATCTCACTATAGTTGGTTTGTCAAGGAACTTCATGGCACTTGCATAGTAGCAAACCACCCACATTCCTTGCATATTCCATCAGTTAGAAGTAAGCTCCTTCCTATGAACCACTGCTCTGTGAAACCAAATGATGTCCCCACTCCTGATCACTACAATCTTAATCTGTTTAAGGCTAGGGTTAACAGTCATATCTGCACAAATTGCCTCCTAATGTAACCTTTTACCTCAGGTGCCCCCAGCCTTGTAAAGAGTGAATTTTACTGTTTAAAAAGGGAAAAAAAAAAAAAAAAAAAAAAAAAAAAAAGGGGGGAGAAAAAGGGGAAGGAAACGGGGGAAGGGGAGGAAAGAAAAAAAAAGGGAAAAGGGGGGGATAGGGAAAAGGAAAAAAGGGAATAAAGAAAAAAAGGGGAATAAAGAAAAAAAGGGGAATAAAGAAAAAAAAAGAATAAAGAAAAAAGGGAATAAAGAAAAAAAAGGGAATAAAGGGGAAAAAGGGGAAGAAAAAAAGGGGGAATAAAGAAAAAAAGGGGGAAAAAGGGAAAAAAAAAAAAAAAAAAAAGGGGAAAAGGAGATCTCTTGATATTAATCTAGAGAGATGATCCAAGCAGGCATCATCGTTGGAAACTATACCACAGGTTGACTTAGCTGTGTGAGGGAAATAGAGTAGATGGAACTGTTTGAAAGCATAGTCACTAACGGTTTGAGCATACTGGCATAGTTGCAGCATAAACCACAGTTTGTTGCTGTGAGTGTTGAACAAACACAAATGTGTCTGAGCAGATGTCTGCAACAAAGATAATCCAGTCACCTTAACATACTTCGATACGAGTAGCCAGCTATACAATATTTCTCTATCTGGATTACTCAGGAAAAAAACACTACTGTTACATTTAATATTAAATTTGTAAATAATAGACATTCTCACATTTCTTGAAGTAAATACGTTATAGCAAAATTCTTCATTCTCTGCCTTACCTTTTAACAAACTCGAGAAGTCTGTCTTGTATTTCACCATAATTCCATATATTATTCTTTCCTTCTAACCCCCTCCCACAAAAAAAGGGTAAGGTTGGTAGCTTCACATTCTATAATACAGAAATATGAGATTTCATTTATGTATTCTAATTTGGTTATCAGCAATGCTTCTCTGGAGTTCTTTAACAAGAAAGCTTTCAGATATTAACTGGGATTATGCTACAAAATCAGGTAAAACTGGTTACAGGCACTGATTTCTCTTGTCTCCTGAAGGAGAAAAAAAACAAGCAGAAACTATTTCAGATTACAAAAAAAAAAAAAAAAACTCATGTTATGAACATGATCATTTTCAGATTAGATCAATAATAACCTATCAAATGCAAAAGTACCTAATCCAGGTAATAGGAATGCTTTTCACAAAGAATGCAAAAGAAAAGAAAAAAAAAGAAAAAGAAAAAGAAAAAAAAAAAAACAGAACCAAGCAAGTTTGTTCTAGGTAATAGGAATACTTTTCAGAAAGAAAAGCAATATATATCTCCATATTGCATTTTATGAAATCTAGCATCATTCATTCATTTATTTAGTCAGCACATTTTGCTGCTGTGATCATCCCTCACCTCCACAATTGTGGTTCATGGTGACATTCAAGGCAGAATGGCTTGCCAGTTCCTTTTGCATCAGGATGTTGGGGTTACTCTGTGCCTCCTCTCAGAAGTTAAAGAAGAAAGACCTACAAGACAGCAGATAGTTTGAATTCAGAGTTTTCCTTCTCCTAGACTGGTATGTGGAAGCCACTTGCTGTTCAGACTACATGTCCCCTTCTTGGCTGTGCTGACAAGATCCAATGGAATACAAGGCATTACATTTGGGGACAGCTTAGCTGCAGGAATTGCTGGAAAGTTGTCAGTATTGACAGCCAACCACCTTCAGATCTCCATACCGGGTTTTCTCTCTGGATTTACTTTCATAGCCTTTTCTGTGTTTTGGATATGACCACAAAGCAGCAGAGGTTTAAAAATCACTGTTTTCTTTCCTCTAGATTGTCAGCCTTCCTGTACTGTTGAGAAATTGGTTATGAGGCGACAGTTTTCCGTCTTCACCTATTCTTCAGATTGGAACAGGACTTATTTGTCAGGGGCTATTTGAAACGCATGCCATGCAAACATTTTATAGACAGTGGGAGCTTGTCCCCACTATCAACCACTGGCATTCAACTAGAGTTTAACAAACATAATTATTTATTTACCTTCAGATTAATCTGTCTAAATTTCTATTGTAACTATTTACCCTATTTACATTGTTTGGACTGTTGTCCTAATCTTTGTTGCCATATTCACTTCTTCAGGTGACTGGAAATTCAAGCTGAGCCCTTTATTTCGTCCACCTGGGTAAATTGTTTTAGTTCCACGTGCCATGCCTCTTCCAAATATATCAGTTTCAGTTATTTTCCTTTAGTAACTCAACTTTCCAAGTTTTTTTTTTTTTTTTTTAAGTTTTTTATTTAATGTGGCCAGGTATTGAACTCTCCACTCTTTGGGTCAAGTCACTGGATTACTTCAACTAACACTTTTAACCACTAGGCCATCAGTGTATGAATTTGGGGACTTCTAAACCTAATGTCTCAGTAACCATTTTTTTTTTTTTTACCAGGGATCATATTACAACTTGTTATTGTTTTTTTTTCTCTAGCACCCCATGTTACTGGTTCCAATATTTTATTCATGTCTATGCTTGGCCTGCTTAGGAGATTTTTGTGGCCTGGCATATGTGCTGATTCCTTAAGTTTTTTTGATTTTCCAGTGATGTTCTCTATTATTTCAACCTCATCCACAGGAGGCAGTGATCTTTTTCCCTCTGTCATGAATGACAAAAAAGATGAGAACAATAGTCTGAACAATGTAAATAGTTACAATACCTCATTTCGGAAATATAGGCAGACAATTTATGAAAGTTCTCATTGCTGTTTCAACTTGTGATGTCTTTACCCGTAATTTCTCCTTAATCTTCTTAGTGGAATCTTGTGTTTGCAGTTTCTTTTTCCTAAATATTTTTCTTATATAATAGAATATTCATCTTTTGATATTCAGATCTGAGATTGACACTGCATTTCCTTTCTAAAAACCAAATTATTTATAAAATTTGATAAATAAATAAAATGCTGAACTTGATTATTGCAAGTTGCATATTTTGTAAATGCAAGAAAATAAGTCAG